TTCTAATGGAATCAGCGGTGATTTGTTTTTTTTTTTTTTGGTTCCCATTGCATACAAATAGATCTCGCAAAAAGTATTTGCTATATACCTACGGTACTCTTGACTTTCGGTATTTTGAAGGTTTCTGCAACAATGTCTAACCGAATAAGTTAGACATTTCGGGGTTAAAATGGAAACTAAATATTTCATATTGTGGTAAAATGTATCATGCTGAAGGGTATAAAAAATTGGAACTACATTTTATCTTCTTTCATCTCAAATGTTGCATCTTTTTGACACGATAGGAGCGAAATGTTTCTAGTCATGGTAGCCATAGATGATATAGATACCGTTAAGGTCCAATCATTCTTGGCCACTGTCTAATTGTTTGTCTTTAGATGTGACTAAAATGTGCTAGCCTCTAAAATAAAACTAGCGCCGATATCCACACAAGCTCGTGTTTCCAAATTTTATGGAATACGTTGCGTTGGGTTACAAATCACGGAATTTTACTACCATCGATGATGCGCTTTGTAGTTAGTTGGTGAAAAAAAAAAAAAAACTAATGATGGTCAAATTGCCATACTCGCACATTCAAGGTTAATGCCATACACCAACCGTTTAGGTTGCCATGTAATGTGCGATGTGACTACGGTTATGTAAGCAAACAATCGTTGCATAATATTTCGCTCGCACACGTATTTGTGTATCGATATTGTGCCGTAGTGTGAAAGATAGGCCTATCTTTGGTTAACCATTATTGTATCAATTATAGAAAAAACATTTTATTCATTGGAGGAGCCAATATTAGATAGATGGGATACATGTGTACATATGGTAATACGTAAATGTCGATAAATAAAATACGATTGTATAACGCATGTTTTTTATACCCTCCACCTTGAAAGGAGGGTATATCAACTTTGTCATTCCCTTTGTAACATCCCTAAATATTCATCGTAGATGAAGCATAAAATTCTAAGTCGATTTAACGATGTCCGTTTGTTTGTCTGTCTGTGGAAATCACGATACAGCCCACATTATTTAGCAGAACAATTTGTATTGTGTCTAGGATGGTTGGTATTGAAAATGAGATGTATCGGTTCACGATTTGGTATAGTCCCCATATAACGGAACCCCTCGATATTCGGTATTTTAATAATTTTTGCCACATTTTCCACGGTTTTGTCTAAAAATTGGTATTTGAATGACATAATGGGTTCTAGCTCCGATGGCGAAACATTATATGTATAGGTCAATGGTTTTGTTTAGCCCCCGTATAACGGTACCTCCCGACATTCGGTATTTTGATGATGTTTGCCACATTTTTGCACGGTTTTCTCTAAAAATTGTTATTTGTGGGTCATAAAAAATTTGTATTTGTAGTTTGTAATTATGGGTTCTTAACCGGAACATAGTATGTATGGTTCCACGGATTTGTCTAATAATTGGTATTTGTAGTTCATAATGGGTTCTAGCTCCGGTGGCAGAAAATTGATTAATTATGTTCACGTTTTCCTATAGCGCACATATAACGATACCCACCGATATTCCGTATTTTGATAATCCTAGTCAAATTTACCCACGAAACTGTTTCAAATTTGGTACTTAAGAAGATTTGGTAGGTGACAATTCTTGAAGTATAAAAATGTCCATAGAGGTTCCCGTTTTGGTATGGCCCCCATGAACGGCCTCACCCACTTTATGTCTTTTTTTTTAAAGTTTAACAGCATTATGCAAACGGTCTTACTGATATTTGTAGTTTAAAGTGGAACACGTTTGAATTCAGATATTTTATATAAAAATGTTTTTTAACCCAATGATGGAGGGTAATAAATATTCGACCGGCCGAACTTTATGCTTTTTACTTGTTTTTCGAAAAGTCTCTAACTAGTTTCGTACCTGTAACCCGAAAAGAAAATTTATAAACTAAAATTGTGCTCGAATTTTTCGAATTATTTCCTATAAAACATTTTAATTCTTGATATAGATATTATCGGGGCGAAACACTGTGATTAGTGCATATCGATTGATATTCCGGCAATTTCTGACATTAATGGTTTTCAGCATGTAGTGCCTTTTTCCGCACAATTCGATAACAGTACCTCCAGGCTTTTAGTATTTTGAAGTTTTCAGACAAGTTTTCCAGTCAAATTACTTGTTATTTGCTTTTTAAATTCTCAGAGCAATGAAATATTAAAGCCCTCACAGAAGCAATATTTTCTGATATTCTGTATTTCACAGGGTCCTGTTCAAATTTATTAGATAATGAACTATAATTTGGCTTTAAATTGCCAACATAGGTCCTTGTTTTAAAAATCAAAAAATGTTTATCAAAGTTAAATAAAACAAGTAAGCAAAGGCTATAGTCGTGCGGGGCCGACCATGTGATACCCTGCAACACTACAATATGTTCGAAGTCCCCTTATATCGAAATCCATTTTTGAAGATTTTGTTTTTGAAATAATGTCAAAGAGCCCCGCCCAGAGGTTACCCTTAGTTTTTTGACCCGGAGAATTTGGCCAATATTTACACACTCCGAAATTCCGTGTCGATTAGTTTTCAATTGTGGGCGGCTACAAAATTAGAAAAAAAAAAATATTTTTCTTAGTCTATTTGCACTTCTAAATGCACATCTTAAGAACAAGAGGCTTTAGTTCTGACCCTACCCCCATGCAAAATTTCGTGTGGATCGGACGATATTTGCGATATGACCCTCAAAACGTAGTGTTGGGGGGTGTAAAATTTTACAAAATTTACAATTCAAAATTGTAAGTCAAATTGTAAAAACCGCATACGATAAAAAATATGACAAAAATTTAAAAAAAAATCGACAAAAGATATTCACTTTTTTATTGGTATATTTTTCCGCGATTTTCTTAGATTTTATCGTTTTATGGCAAGAGACCATTCCGAATTGATGGGAATTGTGGAAATCGGCCCAGCGGTTCTTGATTTATAACCAGAATAAATAAGATCAATTCTTTTACATATATATTGTACCTATTTTGCTATATATCCGATGTCTTGGCTATTAGCATCACTCTAACGATCAGAAGTGATCTTTTAATGTATTTGTGATTTGGCTGGGATTGACAATATTCGCGGTTTAGTGGATATTTTCCTATTTTCTTACATAAAAGTTAGGGTCTATTTTACCCGCTAATTATTGTCCGATGGCCGCCCAAATTGGTAGGTTTCTGCCACTCCTAAACTGTAACTCCATATAAATTTTCGCGTCGATTGGTTCATAATTGTGACCTATAGAGTGATTACAAATTGGCATGGACAGACGGACGGACGGATATACATAGCTAGATCGACTCATCTCGGCGAGATAGGAAGATCCATATATACTTTCCTATGTGGGAAACCAATATTTCGAGGTGTTACATAATTTTTGGCCCAATCAAACTTATAATACCCCCAACACATAGTGTTGTAGGGTATAATAATGAAAATGGTAGAATATGTTAACTAATAATGTCACCCCGTATCAACTAAAATAACCCAAATAACAAAACTCATATTTTATTTGTTTTGGTAGAAACCTCAAAAAATACCGAAAATCGGGAGGAATTGTTATGTGGGGGCTACACCAAGTAGTGAAACTGTAGCGTGTACTTTTGCAGGGATAGAACAGACCTACAGAGAGCACCAATTGTTAAGTTTCATCTAAATTGGTTGGAAATTGCAGCAGAAAACTTAAAAATACAGAAAATCGTTTTGTACCCTTTTCAATAACTTTCAAAGCTCTGGATTAAATAATGTGGATTTCGACAGACAGACAGACATCGCCAAATCGCCTTATAATATTATTCTGATCAGGAATATATATATACCTTTTTTGGTCTCCGACGAATATTTCGAGATGTTGCAAACGGAATGACAAATTTAATATACCCTCCATTATATAGTGGAGGGCATAAAAAATGTGTCTTAATTCATCAAAATACCGAATATGAGGGGTACCGAATATTGATTGTTATACCCATTAGGATCTTCCAATGCGAAATTAGAAAAGATTCTGCTCTATTATGTCGCTAAAAACATCAAAATCCCGAATATTGGGAGGTACTGTTATATGGGGGCTACACGAAAACGTGGATTCGCCAGACCTTTGGCAAAATACGCATGTGTGCAAAGTTTAGCGTTCTATCGCAATTCCATGGAAAGATGATTTCAACAGAAAAAAAACAGACAGGCTAAATCGACTTTACTCTGATCAAGAATATATATACTTTGTTGGGTCTGACATGGGTATTTTGAGGAGTTACAAACGGAATGACAAAGTTAATATACCCTCCATAGTATGGTGGAGGGTATACAAACGGAATTAAAATACATATAAGTAACAGTTTTTCCACCTACCTCATTCCGTTCGGAAGCTAGATTGATTTCCCAAGATGGACAGACACAGGGATATGGCTTAATTAACGTACAATCTTATGCCGGTAGTTGCGTTTTTGTAACACAATTAAATTAGCAAAGGTTCATCCAGACTCTTGCTCTTAAAAATTCAATATCAATAAAATCAAAATGTCATGTATTAGACCTATGCTGATTAAGGTTTCGGAAAACTTCGGAGATATTGTTTTATTTGTTAATTAAAAAAAAACTGTTAATTGGTTTTAACAGTTTTTGTGACTTTGGGGATTGAAACTTGTTTACGGCTACTTAAGCACTACAAACTTACAAGCGAATAGAACGTAATATATGTTTGAATGTATGTGCAAAGTGTATACACATGCAGAACTATTTGAAATATCAGGCATTGTTTCTCTCCACTGAGCGGGTTTATTATAAATTGTAATGCAAAAAAAAAAAAAACAATTGCACATATTTATATACACCTATCTATGTACATTCCTATAAATAAATTGCATATGTACGTGTGGATGTACCAGTACAGGTATATATTTAAAATTGTTCATGTTTAACAATTCGCTTGGAATTTATGTGGCGAGTGTGTGTGTGTGATGGAATATATGAGTGATCCTATGAGTCGGTCTCTAACTTACCTTCAGATTGTTTTGCTTGGGTCGATGCATAATTAAACCACCAAAAATTATAATTCGCTGACTTGCTTTGCTTTTCTTACAACAGACAAGGCAAACAGATGGATGGCTGGCTGGCTGGTTGGTTGGTTGGTGGCTTGAGTGACTAGCGAATAAATGACAGTGAAGCAGTGATGTCGGTAGACGACTTGGAATGTGTTGATGTTGTTGTTTTTGCTTTTTGGATGAATAGGTGTTGAAGTGCTGCTACAGCCGGCAATGATGACACTCGCGAATGATAACTGGCGTCGGCGTCAATGTTGGTTGATGATTAATGTATAAATAAACTATGGTATGTAGGTATATGGGATGTGTTGCGTGTCTGATTGATGCTGCACAATAAAATGGTATTTATGAAGACACTTTGGTACACATTTAAGTACGAACATACATACAATTGCTAAACGTATTAATGAATGAAGATGTACGTATGTGGGTAGTGGTGTAAACATGTACCTATTTAGCATATGCTAAGCACTTGTGTTGGTGAAAATGCTTAAACGCACCACTCAATTCTTAAGAAATCCATAACAAATGTTTTGGAATGGTTACTATTAAAGTGAAATGTTTAAAAATATTTAAGAAATAAAACATGACATAATGACATGTTATTAGATTTACTTCAAAATATACATTTTAAAAAGAATCAAGAGAATGCCGAACATAACGTTAGCAAAATTTGACATTTGGTTTTGTCCAAAGGTTTCCACCAGATACCTTTGGCCAAAACCATTTGGAAATAATTCCTTCCCAAGTTCACCTAAATCGAATTACGTGGTACACTTCAAATTGCATTTTTCTCCGCAAAAAAACATATGTACCTACATATAAAAGCAACTGATTCCACTGGTAGTGAATGGATAGATCATGGCTTGTGGTACCACTTATTTTTGTGGTAAAAATTCCGATTTAAGGCCAAGGAATAGGAAGGGAAGGGAGTGGGTGTTTATTGAGAGATAATTAACTCAACTATTACGAGTGCAACACCAGTTTGCACTCGTTTCATTTATGTTTAAAAACAAATCTCTACATATATGCACATGCATGTGTGTGTTAACTCATTCGCTCACACACATACATATAAATCGCACTGGTATAGCAATACAAATTAAAATAAAAAAAACATAGACACACTCGTGGTTAAAAGTAAAACAGCTAAACCGTAAATAAATAATTTTTCAAGAAATATTAAGTCAGTGTCGGTAGTGTACCTACGTCAGGGATAGAAAATTCAACGTAATGGTAATGGCGAAGTAATCCCGCGATCAATTTGAAATCTTGCATGTCACAAAAACACGCTAACACCTTCAGTGTAATGGACATTTTAAAATACTATTTACAGCATGTCATTAATCTCATGATAAGGTAATTCAAAAATGTTCAGTTCCCAAATTCAATTGTAACTGGACGTGTTTACCACATAGCTCATTTATTCATAGAGTGGCATATCTCATGTTTACATAGGTGTTCGACATAATTTAACAGAACAGTGTGTCGAGTCTATAATGCACTTGACTACTTCGAACCATGCTTGGTCTTGCTCTGAGATTTTGCACTGGCATTTGGTGATCTCTTTGCAAATGATTGGCTATGTAGTTTTGCGATTTTTTGGAGCAAACATGCATTAAATATTTGGATAGTCTCCAGCTCGTTGGCTAAGAAGGAAGAAGACCCCATTTTAGAACAATATAAATCACTAACATCATTTGTTTAGTTTTGTAGAAACTGTACATGTTGTAAAAATAGTTTGTGTGTTGAATGTTCTTCTTTAAATTCTATTCTTATTATGTAAATTAGTTAAATAAAGAAAGCACTTAAGATGCATGTGTTTTCCATATGCTATGTTTATGGTCGGTAATAAATAATGTAATAAATGTCACGGCCATAAATAGAAGATAAGAAAGGGTCGATCACAAATTAGGTACGTTTCATTTTCTCCCGCAACGTAATGTGTGCGTTAACGCACAGCGTGCATTAGTAAATAAAATGCATGTGTAAATGTATTAGATGTAAGCTTTAGTGTTAAGAATATGTTGTAAATAAATTGAGTTCCCTTCCAGCCACGGAACGAGAAAGATCATCTCGCGGCGTTTTCTTTTTCTTTCGATAGTTACATCGCTTGTGATGAGGTTAGGAGTCGACCTCATCATCATTTTTCGACCTTTAAAATTGAAAAGGAGTTTTCCAGAATCCAGTTTCAAAACATGCAAGTTGCAAGAAAGTTTATTCGAAAACAATTTGGTTAGATGGATATATCTAAAAATTCTTATTCATTCATTCTTAATGAAAATCATATATATTCAAATGACATTTTTAGTGATACGGAAGTATCACCTGCTGAAGGTAGTAATTAATTCTATCATCAATAGGTTCCATAAGAACTTGTCATATATTCTTTGCTGTCTCTAATTTTATTTATTTTTTCCTGTTTGTTTTCTTTCAACCAAAGAGCACTTGCTCTTTTTAAGCTTAAAATTTAAATTATTCAAACTTTTGTTTGTATTTGAAAAAAAAAAAAAAAAAATAATAATAATAATAAATAATATGGGCCTAATACGTGTGAATATTGATGCCTACGCAAAAGAAGATTCCCCAATTTTGTCAATACAGAAATACTTAGAACTTCTTGTGGACTTTTTTCATGCCATAAGGTACCGTTTGACCCTTTTCGCCTCGTCTTGATTTGAGTGAAAATTGTTTTGTTTTTGTTTTTTTTTTTGGAGAAATTTGTGCTTTATTTCAACAAAAATGTAATACGAAAGTATACATGAAATTAAAGTTGCCCAAATATGTAAAATTTTAATTATGTTTTCCTAATTTATAGTATATCTGTTTAAACAGCGCGTTTCTATTTAGAAGAAATTAAATATAAATTAAAGCGTTCGGATGTTATCTGGTGAATATTCAAGCATTATACCTAAATGACTGTTATTCGCGTTTATTGCTGCACACTGCTTTTACCAGCGACATAAAACAAAGCGACACTTTTGCTGCGTTCCCCCCAGAATTGCTCAGAGAAAACTTCTTTAAAACCAAACTACTGAAACACAATCATTTATTGTATATTGAGTCGTTTTCATACTTCCTGTAGCAGATATATTGTTGAATTAAACGCTTGGTCTTGAGAAAAAGCTAATTTCAAAGGTTTGTGTCTCGAAAATTAGAGCGAGTATGGGGGAAATTAAATAACATCTCAGGAAGAGCATGTTCATTTTTTTATACATTTTCTTTTAGTTTTGGAGATTTGAAGATTTAATTATTCAGGTTACCAATGTAAACACGATTTTCAATTAGCTAAAAGCAATTCGTGAAGCAAATAACGTATGAATAGCAGCGGTATTTATGTGAGCTGTAATCATGGTAGAAGAATAGAATAGTCGCATCGACATAACTGCTGGGACAGTGAACTGTTAAAACAATTTTGGAGTTGAAGATTTGAAATTGTAGAATCTTTTGAAAAATGCATAGGGTAATAACCTCCGATTGTCTTCGAATAAGAAAGCATATACAAATCTATTTATTTTTTACAAAAATAAAAAAAAATTGACATATCAATGTTCTTAAACGTTGATGCATCTACCTGTATTCTTCTGCCATGGCTGTAATTAAGTTTTACCGGTAGGAATACAACTTAGCAGAGACAAATGTTGGTTATAAATGATGATTCATACATTGAGGCATTATTGTAATGAATAGAATACATTTACTATGGAGGTATATTTAGGTGTGTATGCTCTGTAGTTCCAATCCAAACCGACTTCAAATAAATTTGATGTACATGTCTCATCATAGTGTATTATAAGTTTAAAGTGCAAAATATGCTGAAACATGTTAATGAACCGAATTTGGCGGACTCACTCCATCTACTTGGAACGATATTTCGTCATTGAGACAGACAAATGAGTGGTGCAAAATCCAGGGGGTTTAAAAGAAGACTAAGACGCATCTTTTGTAAATGTTGAGCTTTTAAAACTGAGTTAAGTCAGTCCTGCGGAACTTTTTGCCTTCCATTATGCCAAGATTTGGTTTATGATCATGTCTGCTGCCTCAAATATTTCTAGATTGTGGAGATTTCATATTTTACTAGTTTTGCAATTAAAAACCAGTAAAGAAAGTCTCCACTTAATAATTAAAAGTTTTTATGGGAGAATTTAATCATACACGCTATGATTATAATTATAGTTTAAAATTTGTATATTTTAAATTCGGACTTGTATTGCCCATTTGGTGCGAAATTAATTTGAAATCGGATAAAAATATATATGGGAACTATATCCAAATCTGAACCGATCTCGATAAAATTTGGCAAAGATATTTCTGAGCTGTATTTGATATATTTCCCAAAATATTGTTGTTACAGAGTGCATATTACGGCTGTGGGTAACAAATACAATAAATCGGATGAACAATATATATGGGAGCTATAGCTATATCTGAACCGATCTTCACCAAACTTGACATACTCTCTTCTAGACTCAGTTCGGACGTAAGTGCACGTACACGTTTGGTGCACAATAAAAGGCAAATCGGACGAAGATATATATGGGAGCTATATCCAAATTTTGACCGATTATCTCCAATTTCAATAGGGTTCGTCCTTGGGCCAAACAAATGATTTGTACCAAATTTCATCTGGATAGGGCAATAAATGCGATCTGTACTTTGTTTACAAAAATACATGGACAGACGGACGGACATGCATAAATCGATTCAGAATGTGATTCTATGCAGATCATCAAAAGGAACTATGGGTCTATCTTGTTTCCTTTTGCCTGTTACAAACAAATGCACAAAGACATAATACCCTGACCACCTTGTGGTGTAGGGTATAAAAAGTAAAGCAAAAAAACTATTAATTAGAAGGAGTTAAAATACCTTCTTTGGAAATTGGCATAAAGCCTTGAAAATTAAAAAAAAAAAAAAAACAGGAGCCATACCTAAATATGGCCTGTTATATCGGGCCATATTCTTTCAATACCAATTATTCTGGCCATAAAATCCTATGTTATTTTTATACAAAATTTTTATGGTCTGCACAAATTAATGTGGCCTCTATCTGGATTTAAAGAAACAACCAAACAGATGGACACAGCCAGATCGACCTCGAATTTATGCTTAGCCAGAATACAAAGAAATACAAATTTAGCATACACCCATCTTATTGTACTATGAAATTCAGCTTCCGAACGGAATGAAGTATGTTCATTAAATTTTATTCAAATGTAGGTTAGGTCCATTGAACTTTTGGTATGGAAAGTGGACGTTATATGACATAACCTCCATACAACGGTTGTACCTGATTTAAACTTTTTTGAAGTTTGACCAAATTGTCACTTGAAATTGCTGTCAATAACCAGTTTGCGTTTACAGTGGGCAGAAGATACCCTTGAACCGAATTGACCGTACAGGCCTGAATTGTGGTGTGGCCTACATATAACGGTTCTTTACGATATTGTTTTAAAGTTGATATTTGGAGTTAGCAATAGATAATACCTTGTCGAGCAGCTAATTGACTATACAGGATCACGTTTATGCATGGCTACCATGTAACGATACCTTTCGATATGTCGTATTATTTTCTTGCATTTTCACTGCCAATTTGTTGTACAATACTATTTTAGTGTTAAATCTAACTGCAACCTTATTTTAGATCCCTCAACTACTACTTCAAAGGACCAGATATCTTATGTAAACTGGCACAATTCACTATTCCGAATGGTTCAGTTAATGGCCCAGTTATAAGGTCGACAACGTAATTTGAATTCACCTAAAAACTACAATAGATTTCCATCAAGGTGAATTTATCGGGTGTACAGTGAGTTCATCTGTAGCCTTCTCTTACTGTCAAACACATTGTTTTAATTAACCAGTAAGGAAAGCTCAAAAGTCGGGCGGGGCCGACTATATGATACCCTACACCACTACGCATATTAAGTAGAGCTCTCGTAAAAAGGTTTATACAGGGCATTTCAGAGCTCTATGAGATATTTGGTACAAAATCAAAATCTATCTAATTCTATCGTGCATTTTACGAACTATAGCTATCTCTGAACCGGGTTTCTCCAAATTTGACGTATTAGCTTCTAGACTGAATTCGGTCTTATGTACGAAAATTCAGGTGATTTGGGCTGATATTGACCATTTAGTGCACATTTAACCCGAAATCGGATGAAGATATATATGGGAGCTATATCCAAATCTGAACCGATTTCGATAAAATTTAAAACAGCTATTCCTGTGCTCCATCTAATACCTGGTACCAAATATCACGGTTGTGGAGTGAATATTACGAATGTAAGGGACTAAAACACTAAATCGGATGAAACATATATATGGTTGCTATATCTATATCTGAACCGATTTTCACTAAATTTGATGTACTTGCTTCTAGGCTGAATTTGGTCCGATGTACTAAAATTCAGTTCATTTGGACTTATATCGGCCATTTGGTGCACAATTAACCCGAAATCGGATGAAGATATATATGGGAGCTATATCCAAATCTGAACCGATTTCGATAAAATTACAAACAGATATTTCTGGGCTGTATCTTATATCTGGTACCAAATATAATTCTTGTGGAGTGCATATTACGAATGTGAGAGGCTTAAACACCAAATCGGATAAAACATATATATGGGAGCTATAGCTGTTTCTGAACCGATTTTCTCCAAATTTGTTGTATTTGCTTTAAGGCTAATCTCAGTCACATGTGCCAAAATTCGGGCCATTTGGGCTGATATTGGCCATTTGGTGGTCAATTAACCCGAAATCGGATGAAGATATATATGGGAGCTATATCCAAATCTGAACCGATTTCGATAAAATTTAAAACAGTTATTTCTGTGCTCCATCTAATACCTGGTACCAAATATCACGGTTGTGGAGTGCATAGTAGGAATGTGAGGGACTTAAAGATCAAATCGGATGAAAGATATATATGGGAGCTATAGCTATATCTGAACCGATTTTCTCCAAATTTGATATACTTGCTTCTAGGCCGAACTCGGTTGGGTGTGCAAAATTCAGGTAATTTGGACTGATAGTGGACATTTGGTGCACATTTAACCCGAAATCGGATGAAGATATATATGGGAGCTATATCTAAATTTGATCCGATTCTCACCAATTTCAATAGGGTTCGTCCTTGGGCCAAAAAAATATTGTTTGGAAAATTTCATCTCAATCGGATAATAAATGCGACCTGCATTTTGTTCACAAGAATACATGGACAGACGGACGGACGGACAGACGGACTGACATGCATAAATCGACTCAGAAATTCTATGAAGGTTCTCAAAAGTAACTATGGGTCTATCTCGTTTCCTTCTCTATGTTACAAACAAATGCTCAAAGACATAATACCCTTACCACTATGTGGTGTAGGGTATAAAAATCTGTAATAAATATTTTTTTATTTAACGAAAATATATACGTATTATACAAGGTTTATCGCAAAAACACCTTTGAATTTACCTTCAGTGTAACCTTACTAAAATTGCCTTGATTTCAATTCAATTATTCGTTTTATTCAGTCAATTTTGTCAAAAATATTTATTTCAATTAAAAAAAAAAAAAAAAACATTGAACAATTGGAAATATAAAACCATAGTAAAATTAAAAAGGTACCTTTATTTTCTTCATTTTCCTTATAAAAGTTGTCTTATTAAAGGACAGGTTCCTGTCTTTAATTTGTGCATTTACAATGGATTTAGGAATCTTCAATGATAAACGATATGTTTGAAAAAAAAAAAATTGTAAACCCTCTTAATACTACCATGGGTACTACAACTTTCAATTCTTTGAAGATATGCAAGGGAATAGAAGAGACTGGTAAGGCAATTAACTTTTTTCGGTACCCAGAGATGAAAGGACATTTCTTTTTATTGATATTGCAGAAAAATCTTATATATTTAATATATTTTTGCCAAAAATTACAAATAAGAAATTCGCCGAAATTATTTGGGCGAAATACTTTTTTTTCGCTCTAAACACAAAGTTTGGCCATATATGTAAATGAAAAATTCTACTTGTTTGGTGAATTCGCCTCCTGGTCGACCTTATAATCGGGTCATGGTTCGGCTGTCATTTCATTCTATTGCTCACAAATTTACTGCACTTAAATATTTTATTTTACAATTCTTTTTCTTGTTTGTTCACTTTCGATGGTTATGTCACTGAAATATACTGTTGTCGTTCAACAAATGCATTACAAACTGACAAACAAAATCATTCAGAACACATTATTTTTACATCTAAAAACATTTTTCTATTCATCATTTTTGCACAACACTGTATGTACGTTTTTATGCTGTATTATTAAAAATTTCGTAAATAAACTCGTTTGCTTCTCTCTTGTGTTGTTGTTGTTGTTATCGTTGGGTTTCTGTGATCTGAATAATTTTATGGAAAGAATTTGTATCCGTTGAATATTTAACAGGTCGAGCAATTTTTTGCCAGCCTTTTGAACGTCACTACAACTTCGTTAACTAGCTCATCTTCCATACAAACTACTGGACTTTGAGGAAACACACAAACACTATCCGCAATACTGGTGGCCAAAGTGGAATCGTGCAGACCACGATTTTCATTGAACAATGGAACGAATTGAGTGCATTCGATGCAAGCACAGACTGCAAGGCAGTTTTTTTTTTCAATTGCACAATCTTCATAAACGGATATTGTGGAAGTGAAAAAGAAATTGTGTCCACCGAATAAAGACATTTGTAGAGTTTGTCTGGATACGAACTTCACGAGGGACACAAAACGCAACACTTCGCAAGCTGGCTTACTTTACTGAAATCACTTCTGGCCGAAACTCGGATTTTCGAGTCTGCAAACAAATAAAACCGACAAACCAATCGAGCAACAAGTCAATCTGCGACTAAAGATGGTATTTTTCGCACCGTCGCATGATCCGCTAAGAAACACCTAAGCGAACCTGATGTCGCTCTCGCTGTCGACGTTGTCGTTGTTTAGTTGCTAGCTGATCTCCAACTCGTTTCAACATGCTCAAATGGCAGCGTTCAGGGGGCTAGTGGATAGTGAGGTGATCGAATGGTGGTGGCATACGAAAACAAGAAACAGAGACCATAAATCGATCGACAGTTGATGGTGTCTTTGAATTTAATTCGAGACAGAGAGCCGAGAGTGCCAGCGCCGAAGATGGCCATTTTCAAAGTGCTTGGACGACTGGCTGAGCAGCGGACCACGGACCATGGGAAGTCCACACACACGTACGTATACGTATGCGTGAAATCCAAACAAACCAATAAATTGAGAACGTTGAATGAATAGCAAGCGAGCGATTGCACTGCCAACTGTTTTTATCGAATGTGCGGATGTAGCGTGCATGTATTCTCTAACAAAGGCGGAGGAAACAGTCGCCGTTGTTGCTATTCGCATGGCTGGAGTAAATAAATAAACTGCTGTGGGTACGTGTTCGAACGTGTTGTGTGCGCTACGTTGTGACGTAGTGCGAATTATAAAATATGCATCTCCTAGTAAATGCCAAGCCGGTTTACCTTTCAATAACCGTTAAAACGACGAACATTTATACTGCGAATAAATGTTCATACATACTTACACGCACACACACACGTACGAACCACCGAACGTGTCTACCTTGTTGTTTTCCGTCAAAGAATCGCTAAATTTGTCAAAAGTTTAAAAATCTGTTGTGCGGTTCGAAGAGCTTAATAGAGAGACGGAATGTCAAATGTAAATCTCATTCATACCTAATCGCGAAACCAGTTTTAGGGCACCACAATTCTGTTTAAATCCACTGATTAGAGAGCAGCTTAAAAATGTAAGAAGACAAAAATATCCTTCAACGCTTTTACAATCTACAGCTCAGTATTCCATTTTTCCTATCCAAAAACACAATTTTGTGTGGTTACCGGTCTCTTTATTTCTATACGGAATTCAATAGTTAACATATTGAAACTAAGGAATCCGAATAGTTTGATCAAAATACTCGAAGATGTGGGCGTGGCGTTTCTAATTTGGGAATATAACTACGTACTTTTTAATTTTTGGAGAAAGGAACAACTCAAATTGCTGCTTGTTAACTACAGCCAATAAACCATGACGGGCAGTCTTTTGAAGTTGACTATTAATTAGATGACAAAGTTGTACAGACCCTGTCGAGTATTAAGTCATCATCCAGCTACGTTATATGTCGAACCGCAACATGCAGTTGAATAATATTTCCGTTAATCATTACACATTGGATTTAGAAATTGAACTCTGAAAACAAGGATTAGGGATGGGAATACAGCTATAAGATTTTACAATATTTTACACGATTATCGCTGTACTTGCGTGCAATAGAAAATATAATCAAAACCAATAAAGGAAAGACAAAAGTTAGCGAGACCGCCACTTCATCACTTTTTAATAGGGTGCGTCTTTTGGCCAAATTAATGAACTGTCTCATTCGGACAATAAAGGCGACTTGTAAATTGATTACAAATATACATGGAAAGAAATGCACAAATCGTATCCGGATGCGATTAAATACATACCATGAAAAGGAAATATAGAGAGAACCATAGCAGTAAAATATCACCAAAATACCAGACATGTTTTCCAAAGTTGGAAGGGCATCATCCGATCCCCTCATCTCTAGCACTCACAATGAATGCAAAGTAGATCATAACAAGTAAAAAAGCAGTTAGGTTCTTTTTACACCTTCCATCAGTTTGGATAATTACACATGTAAAAATATGTCGGTTAATGTTGAAATTTCAGTGTTCGAGGGGTATGCGTGACTACTGTCCTGAGAAATATATAATAGAAATTTGAAATAATTCTCTAAAAAGTGTGGCTTAAAACATGAAAATACCTAATACGGGAGTACGTTATGGCAAAACGTAGACCCATATAAAAATGGTTTTGCAACAAGTGTAGAAAATCCTTTACGAAATCCAAATACCGAGTTTTAGAATCCGCTATGATCAGTGACTACCGAATTTTATACAATAACGTTAGAAAGGTTAAAATGGCAAAATGCCGAATATGGGAATTGACCGTTATATAGGGGCTATAGAAAACGTGGACCTATGTAGACAATTCAGTTCATTATGAACTCCAAATACCAAATTGTAAGCTACTCCGCTAGAAGCTGTTGCTAAAATCGTCAAAATACCAAATTTCGGGGGTACAATTATATGGGGGCTATACGTGAACCAATATGGCCCATTTACGAACTTAACCAGCCTACTGCAAAATGTAATTTCTTTCTTCTATCTCCATTTGTTCGAAAGATAGCGTGACAACAGCAGACATACAGACGGACATTGCTAAATCGACTTAGAATTTTTGGAGGAGTTACAAACGGAATGACAAAGTTAATATACCCTCCATAGTGTGGTGGTGGGTTTAAAACATAGGTGCAGACGTGAATGGGTTGATATAGGACAATAAAACGAAAGAATATGTGAAATATTTGCTTTTGTAAATACAACTTTAGAACAAAGCTTTCTACGAAAATTAAATCATAAAAAATAAGTTTCCTGTTTTAGTTAAAATTTTCTAATATTATAGAAATTACAATATTTTTTTATTGACGTTTTGACTTTTCTCAATAAGTTGTAAACGGCGGCTGTAAGTACAGCTTTTGTTAATTAGCAAGTAAGCAAAGGCTATAGCCGTGCGAGACTTACCCCGCCTCCACTACAACATTTTCTTCTTTCATCTTTCAAGTTATGAGGATACATAATTGGATCGCTAAAAGACCATTCTAAATACCAGGTTTGGTTTTTAAGGGGCTACAAATAATGTTATAAATTAAGGTCCTTGTTGTAATTATCCAATACTATGTTTGAACATGACCGGAGCCCCAAGAAAATGGCAAATTCCGCCCTTTATCATGTTTATGAGAATTCGAAAGAATATTTGCAAATATAGATTCATGTGTATATTTTGCTATATTACCGATTTCAGGTCAGTTGTGCCACTTTTATGAATTTGTACAAGATTTCGTCGAAAAGTGACTTTCAGTATTTCAGAAGTTTTCACACAGAAACTATGAACCGCTAAATATTATCCGAAGACCACCACTCTAACCCCACGCAAAATTACGCTTATAATTGTGACCTAAAAGCCACTGCAAAAGCGGTCCATTTCATCCCCTAATAGGTTTCGATCATCTCCCCTAATATTTTATTCTGACCCCAACCGCTTGTAAAATTACGTGAGGATCGGACCATTGAAACATTTAGGCTAGAGAGGAAATATTACAAACTCAAAAGTAGCCTAAACACACATTTTAAGTCAAATCGATTCGAAAATATAATCAAAACCCTCGAAATAGGTAAAATCAGGAGGTACCTTTATATGAGCCCTACTTCGAAACATTGACATTGAAATATTTCCGCGAAGAGGTCTTTTACCAGAAACCAGATGCCAAATAAGGGCAAAATCAATTGAAAATGTGACCAAGACCATGGTAATAGCTAAAATCACCGGATACCATCACATAAGAGTTATAATGAAGCATGGTCTTATACTTATATTTATTTGAAAGAATTTGTTCTTCTTTCTAAAATCTCAAATTACCAACATTTGAAAGCAGCTATATCACAATGTAGGCCAACTTGATACATATTTTTTACAAATGATTCCTCATATATAACCCCTAGGACTGTATCAAATTTAAAACATTATCGTAACTTTTGCGGAGTATAGGGCAAAATATTTGCGGCCCTTTGTGTATGGTTAAGCTATATAAAAGGGACTCTAAAAAAGTTAGATCCTGGAACCCCTCTTTTGGGATTTTTATATACCAACCAAAAAATTTCCTAACCCCAAGATTGTCTGCGGCGCTGTGTAATTACTGACGATAGCGCATAGTGCCCGTATAACGTTATCTATGATATATTGTTACTTTTAAGAGTTCGGAAGTATTTTCCGAGTATATGAATCCTTTTCTTACTATAGTTTCAATTCACTCCACTATTTTGTATTGTCCGCATATTACAGTGCCTCTTCATATTCACTGATTGAAGTCCCAATGGATTTTGCATTTTGAGTTCTCATTGGATGGATTATTTCTTCGGTGGGGAGTGTCAAGAGTGTCAAGATTACGTCGTATACTAACTGTGGAACAGATATCTTCATGATTTTCTTCTGATATTTCTTCAAATATTAGGAATTTAGATAAATCGAAAAAATGGGTGCAAAATTGGGCGTGGTCTCTTTTTCCTGCATAAAAACATAAATCGATGTAGAACGAACATTAAAAAAATATCCAAATAGTTCCAGCCGGCCTCAACTGATTAAAAAGTAGACGTGGTCAGTTCCTCAGCCCCCAAATAAATACTTAGGATTACAGGGAAAGTCTACAGTTTGTCGTGTAATAATTTTAAAACCGACATATTCATTGTTTGGCAAATATAAGGATTTTAGATAAATCAAAATTGTGGGCGTGGTCAATATTTTTCCTTTAAAAACCCAACTCGGGGAATGACGAACGTTTGTACAAAAAATTATGCAACTCGGTCCAGCCGTTCTGAACTGATTCCATTACCAACGAAGAACAATTGATTTTATATATAGATTGTATTCTGCTTGTTGAGCCCTTTCATTTGATACCCATATTGATGGGATTGATAAAACCTACCTTATTCGCCAATTTTGTAGCGGACGCCATATTGGATTTCAATTTTTTATATTATATTGTATTCTGCTTGTTGAGAACTTTCATTTGATACCCATATTGATGGGATTGATAAAACCTACGTTATCCGCCATTTTGTAGCGGCCGCCATCTTTATAATGATAATGAATAAACATAATTGTATTGTCACCAAAATCCAAAGTGTATACAAAATTTCAGATTAATCGGTTGTCAGGAAGATGGTGAAATTTGAATTACTAAATTTGACC